AGAGAATTCCCTGCTAGGCTGGAGTCTCAGCTGGCTATAGCAAGCCTGACTCAGAAGCAGAGGAGTCTCCCAGTACAGAGTTTAGAGGTTAATTGGAGACCATAATGCATGTCATGCTAATATGTAGTGGCCTTTTCAAGGCCTAGTCCCAGAGAATACATTTTGTAAAGTGAATAATTTATTTAGAGTTAATTCCTGTACTTTCTTTTTTCTCACTTAACTTGCATGAAAATATTGAAAAGTATTTTGTGATTTTTAACTGGTAAATTCGTTACTGGTAAATTTAACCGATAAATTTGAAACCAAGTACTTAATATTTTACATCATGTCTTCAGCTATTTGTATTTCAAATTCTTTAATTTCAGTGATCTGAAACATGAATCTGAGCTTCACATGAGTTGCAGCTTGTTGTGGAACTCAGAAGTTAGATCGCTGAATTTGGTGGTTATCATCCCATAGGTGCCCCTGAACTTAGACAGTGTTCAGGTACATGTTCCTGACATGAAGCTGCTTTTGAATTTTGTTATGTTGAAATTTAAGCAGTAACGATGATGACAGCAATTAAGGTCATAGAAATCATTAGATAAAGGGATACCAATGTAGTTCTGCAGTTTTCTTTTAATAAAATGAGACTTAGGTGGTAGGAAGAAGGAATTACTCTGCTTAGCACCCTTTGTGTGTGTGTTGTACATGTATGTGCTTGTGTTGTGTATATGTAATCCACTCCTTTTTTGAAACTGGTAAGATTAAAAAAAAGGGAGAAATAATATATATTGCAATGATGACTTTTTGGGAAAAATCTTCTGGCTCTCCATCTTGATTTATGCTTGAGTAATTATGTGTCATGTTTGATTTTCAGCAGTTTTACTAAAATTCTAAAGAAATAAACCACTCTCATCTGCTTTCTAGATTCCGTACATCTCAGTTTATAAAGTAAAGCTTGTTGATAGCTTAGATTTTTAATTGCTGCAGATTTGTTGTCATTGCCACTACAAAGAAGTATGAACATGGGAATTTTTTTCCTTGTTAGTATAGTTCCTGTTTCTGTAGGAACTTCATTTTTAGATTTTACTATGGTGTGAGCTACCATAACTCAAGTACATAGTTATTTCTATTAAGTATTTATCATCATGCTATAGTAGTAAAGGCATTAAAGAAGCAACACACTTATAAAGTGCTATTTTCGAAAAGAAATAGGTGGCAGTTTCATCTTTACTATTGTACTTCTGTTTACTCAAGCACTTGGCAATATAAACATTTATGTCCTCCATAAATCTGGTCAGAAATCACTTTTGATTTTTTTGGGTAAATTAAATAGTCTGTAGAAGATGGAGTACTGGTAAGATGAAAGACTAAAATAATATGCTAAATCTTAAGAGTAACTGGTTTATGCACTAAATGTTTTGTGCCTTGGTCTAACATTACCGTATAGAATGTACAGAATGACAAAAAAGAGCCAGTGTTGAATCATGTAATATTCCATAATTTTGCCTTATCCCAGATTGCTACATGTGTTTTTTCCAAGAAATTTGACTGAATTACCATAAAGATTTGTGTCATATGTGACAGTTATGTCATTGTTAGAGATTACAGTAATCAAAATGGCAAACAGAAGCTTAAGTTATTTTTCTGATCAAAACTTTGTTCTTTGGGTCCACATTCTTACGATGGTTTTTGTGCTCTTGTACATTGGATGTCTTCAGCTGAGTGTAGTTTAGGGGAATCCTTTTTAATTACAGGAAGGACTGCTTTTCTCAACACTATGATCTAACCTGTGACAAATTTGTGCAATACACTATGTAAATTGCTAACAGGTCTGTCACAAACAAACAATTTAAAATTCTTAACACTGGTGCTGAAACCTCTTCAGAACAGTCATTATGATTTAAAAGTTTGTTTGAAAATTTGCAAGCACCAAGTGTCAATCAAAACTGAAGCTGAAACACTCATGAATGTTGAATTTTCACGCTTTAGGTGTGCTTTGTTTTTAGATTTTTTTCAGTTTTTTGCTATTTTTACCATAACCGTCTCATTTAAATTTCCTGCATGCTAACTTTGTGTGATTGAAATAAGTTGCAGTATATATCAATATACACATAAAACAGAATAATCTTCTATTCAGCAGTGATCCCCAATCTTTTTGGCACCCAAGACCAGTTTCATAGAAGACAGTTTTTCTATAGGTTGAGGGTAGGTTTGGGGACGGAGATAGTTTATGAGACTGTGCAACCTAAATCCCTTACATATGCAGTTCACAGTAGGGTTTGTGCTCCTATGAAAATTGAATGCTGCCATTAATGTGACAGGAGGTAGACTCAGGAGGTAATGTGAGTGATGGAGAGTGATTGTAAATACTGAGGAAACTGTTAACCCACGGCTCATCTGCTGTACAGCCTGGTTTCTTTTCTTCTTCTTCTTCTTTTTTTTTTTTTTTTGAATTAAAAATGATTAATTAATTTTTAATTTGACCAGGGAAGGGCAGAGTGAGAGAGAGAGAAAGTGAGAGAGCAACCCACCAGGTCTGGGACTTGAACTGCCGTCAGCCATGTGGGAGTCCAGCGCCCTTAACTACCACGCCTCCTACCAGCCCCATGTATAGCCTGGTTTCTAACAGGCCATGGAGTGATACTGGCCTGGGAGTTGGAGACCCCTGTTTAAGCATCCTTAATTTGAAAATCTTTATATAGTTTATTTCATTCTGCCAGGTACTAGCTTTATAGCCTGGACATGTTATTTAAAAGCCCTGTGTCTCAGCATTCACATCTATAAAATTAAGGTAGTACTCTATTTAACTGGTTCTCATACCTGTTTTTAAAACTTTAACACCTTGACATATGAACTTGTCTTATACATGTCATAATTTAATTGGCAGCTTACTTTTTTCTTTCTTAGTGGAACATAAACTAAGATATATCACATACTTGATGGCATCTGTAATTTGATGAAATATAGCAGTACTATAAAATCATGGCCTTGATGTCTAAATGCAAGGATTTTTATGTAAATGCATAGCACAGCATAAACGCAGAGCAATGCTTGGGGCCAGCAGGTAACTTGGTGGTTAAGGTGCTGGACACTTACATGTCCAGCTGTGATTTGAGTCCTGGACCTGGTGGTTTGAAAATAATTTGGGGTATGTGTGCGTGCATGTCCAAAATTCCGGGAGGAGAACAGAGAAAGGATTGTGACTATCCCCCCACACACTGGGGGAGATTTCTCACTTTCCCTCTCTGTCTCTCTTTCTTTGTCTCTCTCTCTCTCTCACCCTCTCGCCCTCTCACCCTCTATCTCCAGTGAGAACATGTGCCCTAAGGCAAAAAACTAAAAAAGAAATAAACAAAAACACAGAGCAATGCTCAGTAAGTGTTAGCTGTTATTATTGGGTGTAGTTTATCCTTGACTTAGAGCCTCATGGCAACCTAGAAAGTGATAACAAGTTGGACTATCATTCAGTTGAACTTCTATAGTTGCATTGTTTACATTTCATGACATGTAAATGCAAAAGCTGTTTATGGAAAAGTAATAGGAATGAATTATCTTTTACACAAACTTATTAAAAAGTAGTTAAGGCCAATCATATTATGAAAGCTTCATTATAATGACCTTTCAGTGACTTTTTCAGCATGGGCTGGACTGCCTAAGACCTATTAAAATATGAGTCCAATGAGTTTTATCTTTTTGGCAAATACCTTTCTAGTTATCATAGATGTTCAGTATTGCTCAGAAACCTTCCTCTTCAATTAATGTGAAGGCATTCATTAGAATTATGAAGGGACTTCAGAAAGTTCATAGGAAAATTGAATTAAGTTTTGAGCTTATTTTGGTGCAAAAAAAAATTTTGAAACCCATACAGATTTTTCATGTATATGCATTTTCCATGAACCCTTCATATTACTGATAATGTTTATGGGACCTTCAGAAAGTTTCTGGGTAGTAAAAGCAGAATAGTTTCCATGGCAACTTCATTGATTCCTTGCACTTTCATTTCAAGAGTGGGGCTACTGCCAACCTGGACAGTTGCCAGTGCTTCCCAGGAGCGGAGTGAGGCCCAGGCTTTTCTCATAAGCTTAGCAGCGATTCTTATGGCTTGAAGTTTCCTGTTTCCTCTTCACCTGGTGCTGAATACACTATTTCCTTTGTTAGTGTTTGTATCCTTTAATTTCATTAGTTGAGCTCTTTCATTTGAGCCAAACGTTTATTGAATTTCTAAATATTGCCAAGCACTGATCTTGGAGCTCCCGTGAAACTTTTATAGTATTCTTGTGAGAAAAATAGCTTATCAACAGAGATATAGAATTAGATAGACATCAGACTGTACAGTGACTTACAAAACTTTTAGGTAAATGCTGACTTGCATGGTTTGCTTATTAAGTTGTAAGTATTTTGGTGTTTAGAGTTATAGGTAACTCATCTTGTCATTTCGTGAGTTTTAAGAGGCTTAGTGAGTGAGTGTGGAAGAATAAGTTTAGTTCCAGAGATGATTTGGGAGAGAAAGAGTAAGGAGGCACAAACTCTTAACAACTCAGTTCATACTCTGTGTTTGTCATTGGGGATTCTGAGTTACACCTAAGAATGTAAAAGTATGAAAGTGTAAAAATCAGTGATAACATGATTGTCAGTGGGTCGTTTCTAGTGAAAAGCATCCAACTCTTTGTTTGTTGTTGCATGTGGGATTTTTTTAAAGAATGTAATTTTCCATGTATAGGGGCAAATTTAGAAATAAAAATATAAACTTCCTATTTATTTTAATTTATTTAGAAAAACTCCAAGAGGGTTATCAACTATAGGTATTTCTGTCCAGATCAAAGGTAACCCTTAATTAAAGTAGAAAGTTGATGGGTATTTTATCATTTTAATGTCGAAGTCAGTCCATATTTGGGGAAATGGAATTACAGGCTAGGAACCAGTTCTAAGAGTGGGTAGTGATAATTTGCTAATAAGGAAAAGAAGCATCTGCTTTAGGAAGCATGTTAATAACTTCTATGTATATTTTCTTGCAGTGTTATCAGAAAATCCACCTAGTTTCACCATTACTGTGACATCTGAGGCTGGAGAAAATGATGAAAGTAAGTCTAGTAAGAAACATTTGCTATTCTTCTAAACTTCTCTCTTGGGAATCTCACTCATTGTGCAGCCACTGTGTGACATTGCTGTGTAGTCGCATACTACTTGATGGAGTTGAGCTCACTAGGCTAGGATCAGGGATGTGCCTATATAAATTTCACTCCTGTACCAGTTTCTGGTACAGGTCTGTAAGTTGGCACAGGCCAAAAGAGTGAGTGAAAATGTGTAGATGAATTAGGTGTAAAGTTTCCCAGCTTAGGGCCGTCAGGTGGCGAGGTTAAGGTGGCCTCATCTCACATGGCCAGCTCTGTGGTTTGAGTCCTGGTCCTGGTGGCTTGAAAATTACATTAGATGTGTTTGCATGCATGCTCAAAATCCCAAAAGGGATTGTGGAGTGACATCTCTCTGGGTGCGGGGGGGATGGGGGTGACTTCTCACTTTCCCTCTCTCTTTCTTCAGTGAGTGCATGCACCCTTTAGCAAAAACAAAGAACCCAACAAAGTTTCCTAGATAAACTTTCAATTGTCCAATTCAAACTGTGCCATTTGGCCATCAGTCGCAATGCCTTGTTGGCACCTGGCAGATACAATATATAGATTTTAGGGCTATAGCCAACAGCTGAGGACTGGCTTTAGTAGATGCTGACAATGAGACTGCGGTAAGACTTTTCTGTTATGTTCGGTGCCTTTTGTTTATCTTTGGAAGCATTTTATAAAGGATGACTTTGATTCATCCTCTTTTTCAGACATGCGGTATGGTAGAGTACCAATAAGTGGTATTTCATGTGTAAGAAGCAGTTGTTGCTATTCCTATGATTTATTTCACTTAACTTTGTGGTACGTGTTGTTTATATTAGTTATTAGCTGCTGTCTTAGTAACATTAGTTTTCTTCTGTAGGAAAATCTATTGTGCTTTTTGTTGGCATATTATAAATTAGTTATTTATTGAACAAAATTATTGACCTCTATAGTTTTAAGGTATTCACATCAAGCTTTTACCTTTTGTCTTAGCTGTCCAGACTACCCTCAAATTTACATACAGTGAAAAATACCCAGATGAAGCTCCACTTTATGAAATATTCTCCCAGGAAAATCTAGAAGATAATGATGTCTCAGACATTTTAAAATTATTAGCATTACAGGTATGGGCATAACAATTTTCTGTTTGTAGGAGCATTATTTATTGGCCATATATATATATATAGGTGTGTATGTGTGTGTGTGTGAATATATATATATTTTTTTAAATTCTATAACTCTTAAGGCTTTTTTTTTTTTTTTGCTTTTGAGAGAGATTTTTGCTATAGGACACATGCGCTTGTCAGAGAGATAGAACATGTGAGATATCAGCCTCCAGGGGGATGGCCACACTGTATTCTCCTCACTTCCATTTCCAGTGACGTAGCAATTATGCCAACTACTGAGCTGATAATATGTTATGACCCCTCCAGGAGAGGGGTCTGTGGATGAAAAAAAAAATGGATATTGGAAAGTTCTCACTGGACTAGTTCTGGTATGGGATGGGCCACCCACATTCTGGACTTGGCAGTTGTTTAAAGTTCATTCATGTGGGGACCAGCAGGTGGCATGGTGGTTAAGGTGCTGGACAGTCCTACATGACTGACCACAGTTCAAGTCCTGGACCTGGCAAGCAGCTTGCTTTCTCACTTTCTCTCTCTCTTTCTCTCTCTCTGGTCAAATTAAAATAAATGAATGAATAAATAAAATTAAATAAAATAATTCTTTAAAAAATGTTTACTTATGCTTGAATAGAGTTTTCATGGGTTATTCAGAGTATATGGCGAGGGGCGGGGGGGCCAAGTAAAATCTTTAATAATCATCTTAAAATCAGAAGTTCCAGTTTTCTTTGTTCTAAGAATTAACAGAAAACACATCTCCATCTTAAATGTGTATTCTGAAGACCAGTGGTCTCTGAATACTGATGTTATTACTATCTAGAGCTATTAGAGAATGAGGAATAAAAAAGCGTGTATCAGATTGGACGCTTTGCTGATCCTAGACCCGGAGAACTTTGTTTGCCTACCAGGAAATTATATTCATTCTAACATCATTTGGCTAAACATGTTCATTTTCAAACATTGTAAAGCGGGGCCAACAGGTGGTTACATCTCTGGACTCCCATGTAGTCGACTGCGGTTTGAGAACTGGACTTGGTGGCTTAAAACTCATGCCAGGTGTGTGTGCATGCATGCCCAAAATCTTGAGAGGAGAATGGAGGAGAAGGGATTATGACATGACCATCACCTAAGGAATGATTTCTTGCTTTCTGTCTCTCCATCTCTTTCTCTCTCTCTGGTGAGTGCATATGCCCTGTAGCAAAAATCTCTCAAAAAAAGGAAAAAACATTGTAAAGCACATGGGATGGTTATACAATATGCAGTCAGTCACACATCAATGCAAATTACTCAATCTGAGTGGATTTTTCCATATGTTTAATATTTTATTTATACTTAGACTCTCTCCTTTCTAAAAGGCAGTTTTGATTTCTTTGCCCTTTGCCTGAGATCAATTGTATTGAGGAATACTTGTAGATTATTTTCAAAATAGTCTTCATTTTTAACTATTAAAATAGTTAATTTATATTACAAAAAAACTTGAAAAATACAGAAAATCTTGAAGAAGAAATTAAAAATTATTCTTAATCCCACCAGCCAGGTATAATTGCCTAATAACATTTTGGTGTAATAAAATGTGAGACTTTTTCTGTTTCTGCTTGCTGAAGAGAGGGAAAAAGGGTTCTGGGGAATGGCCACACCAGAACTTGTATGTGTTTGCTGAAGAGAGGGGAAAAGGGTTCTGGGGAATGGCCACACCAGAACCCCTTCTCTTTCGTTGTTCCCTTCTTTTGGGATTTTGGCCGTGCGTACACATGCTCAGTACCTTTCTTAAGCTGCCGGGTCTGGGACTGTAGTCTCAGGGTTGGTTATGTTAGATCCTGCTGCATCAATCACCAGGCCACAGAGGTGGCCCACCAGATATTTTCTTATGCTTATATGCTTTGTACCTTCTCCCACCCCAGTTAGTCATTCTATGCGTATGTATTATAACATCCTCTTTTTTCAGGTAACAGTATATGTGGTAGTCTTTCAATTTCTTTTAAATATATATGAATCATTGTTTTTGATAGCTGCATAGAATTCATTATATGTGTACATAATTACATATATCATTTTCTAAAAATCTTAGTAATTGTCACTTTTGCCTGATTTAGTATATAATTCAACATTTTTATATATCACTATTTGTAGGTTTTTAGAGCAGGTTGTCCATTGTGTCCCAAATACCTGACACATTGTATATACACTCAAATATTTGTTGAATAAATAAAAATAATGAATTACTGATGAGTATACTACTTTTTAGACATCAGAGTACTGGGGGCCAGCTAGTGGTATGGTAATTAAGGTAGCTGGATCCCATGTAGCTGACAGTTTGGTTCAAGTCCTAGACCCAGCAGGTTGAACAATAAGCCAAATGCATGTACATGCATGCTCAAAATCCCAAAAGGAGGAGGAGATGGAGAAGGGTTTGTGGCATGGCCATCTCCCATGGGGGGTGCTTTCTTACTTTCTGTCTCTCTGTCTTTTGCTGTTTCCCTACCTCTCTCTACCCCCAGCAACTTCATGCACTCGTTGGCAAATTAACAACAAAAATAAAATAAACAAAAAAAATAAGATTGCTGCATCAAAGGGTATGCATACTTAAGAATTTTAAACATGCTACCAAATTAATTTTCAAAATGATTGTGCCAAATCAGAGTCTCACTAAAGCCATTGAAAGTTTTGTTTTTTCATATTTACTAATACTAGATGTTTTCATTTAGAAGTTAAAAAAATGATAAAATGAAAATGGTATATAGTATAATTTCTATTTCTTTGAGTACTAGTTATGTGAAACTAGTAAAGACAGATTACAGAAGTACATACAGTCTTCATTGTTATATTAGTTTAGGAAGGCACTCTGACCTCAAAATACAGCTCTTAAAATACTCATATAGAAGTAAAATAGTGAATATATGCCGGAGAAATGATGTTACTAGTTATTATAGGAAAAGGTTTTCCTAATTCTACCTATAATTGTGATTATTAAATTGAATTTACTGAAATAATCGTTTTCAGATTCAATGACAAATTACATGAGTTTTAAAATATCTGTCAATCTCACTTCTTAAATGATAACTTACTGAAGGGCGTGAACATGTGTTATAACTGAATCACTAACTATGTTATAAATGTATGAAGTTTATGATTATACCAAAACCTTGTTTTATTGGTTAGTTTTTATTTATTTATTTTTGGAGAAGTATGTTTCTCACCACTTTCTGGTTGTTGCTATACAGGCTGAAGAAAATCTTGGTATGGTGATGATTTTTACTCTAGTGACAGCTGTACAAGAAAAATTAAATGAAATAGTAGATCAGATAAAAACTAGAAGAGAAGAAGAGAAGAAACAGAAAGAAAAGGAAGCAGAAGAAGCTGAAAAGGTATATTTAAAAACCATGTTTTCTTTCATTATTCTCTAAATCTGTTGTTTATTGGTTTTGAATTTTTTTTTCTTTTTTTGGCTACTTTTGTTTGGATATCACAAAAATAAACAAACATGTATTTTAGTAAAGTTACTAAGAGACAAGTTTTTTTTTTTGGGGGGGGGAGATTTTTGCTATAGGGTGCATGTACTCTCCAGAAAGAGAGAGAGAGAGAGACAGAAAGCGAGAAATCACCCCCCAGGGGGGATGGCCACACTGCAGTCCCTTCTCCTCTATTCTCCTCTCGGGATCTTGGGCACATATGCACATGTGCCCGGTGTGAGTTTAAACCACAGGGTCTGGGACTTGAACCACGGTTGACTATACATGGGAGTCCAGTGATATAGCCATTATGCCAACTGCTGGTCCCACTAAGAGTAAAGTTTTAGAAGTCCCTAATTTGTTTGGTGACGTAGCATGAGTAATGAATGATCATTAGTTAGTAATAATTAAAATTCATCTAAGAAAGACCAGGAAATAGAAATTATTTCTCCTATGGTATAGAGCTTGGAATCATAAGCCCTTTCCACAGTGATTTAAATACTAAGTGTAAAAAAGCCTCAAAATACTAAAATGAAGTAAAAAGCTGTGATTTAAATGTGTATTCAAAGCATTTTAATATGATAGCTGTAACTTTCCTCTGAAGAATGGACAGGTATGGCACATATTATTGGGTCATTGGGAAAGACAAAGTATTTTTGCACAGAAAATACGTCATGACTTTTCCAACAACCTAATATATATTACCTTTTGTTTTATATAATTAGAATTAAAAAAAAAACAGACCTTTTCAGAGAAACTTATCAAAATCAGCTAGAGTAGCCAGTGCTGAAAGAAATCAGGTAAATATTGGAAAATTTTAAATGTTCATTTTTATGTGTGTTTCTTATAGGCAATTATATTTGTGTAGAAGATGTAATTAGACTTTATTTGTTAAACTGTTGTCTCACGTATCTGGGATTTATTCCTTCATTATTTTCTCAGCAATTATTCCATGGCACTCCTGTTACGATTGAAAATTTCTTAAGCTGGAAGGCCAAGTTTGATGCAGAACTCTTGGAAATTAAAAAGAAACGGATGAAAGAAGAAGAACAAGCAGGAAAAAGCAAATTAAGTGGTATGACTACTACACCTGTTCTCCTAAACTCTCCTGAATCTTTTTTTTTTTTTTTTGGAGAGATTTTTGCTATAGGGCACATGCGCTTGCCAGAAAGACAGAGAGACAAAGTGAGAAATCACCCCCCGCAGGGGGGATGGCCACACCACAGTCCCTTCTCCTCCATTTTCCTCTCAGGATCTTGGTCATGCACGCACACGCGCCCAGCGTGAGTTTAAGCCACCGGATCCGGGACTCAGACTTCAGTCGGCTACATGGGAATCCAGTGACATAGCCATTATGCTAATTGGTGGTCCCCTGAATCATTTCTTATAAGAGGATCATTTAGACAGATACCTATTTTTCTATACATGATTCATAATACATTTTTATAGATTATCTTTAATATAAATATTATTGTTGAACCTGAGGCATAGGAACATGCAATATCAAAATTCTTAGAAGTGGTTGGTAGAGAAAAACCCATTTGTTTTTCTAGGACTCTAAGGCAGACTAGTTTTTGCGTGTTCTATTTTAATGCAAATCCATTTTATATGTCTCTTAGCTATGAATGAGTTCATAAATAAAGTTATTGAAATAAATATGCAGGAAAATGTTTACTGACTGTTTTCCTGAATTACTCTGCGTTCTAAAGGATTGTAGGAAAAATGAAAGAATTACATGCCATTTGAAATAAATACACTTATTTCTTTTAGGGAAGCAGCTGTTTGAAACAGATCATAATCTTGATACTTCTGATATCCAATTTTTGGAGGATGGTAAGATAATATTAGAATTCCACATATATGTAGTATGCTGTTTTTAATTTTAAAGCATGAAAGTCAGCAATAATTTTATTTAGTATAAGTTTTTCCTTTCAAGGCTATTAAAAAGTACATTTTGAAGAATAAATTCTAATGGTTGATTAATGGCCAGAGACTGGGGAGAAGAGAAGAATAGAAAAGATGGGGAGAGGTTGGTCAAAGAGTGTGAATGTTACTCTCAGAGTAGAGGAATAACTTCTGGTACACTAAGACACGGTAGGGTGACTATAGACGACAGAAATGCATTGTATGTTTCAAATAGCTAGAAGAGGATTTTGAATGTTCTCACAATAGAGAAATAATAAGTAGAAATGCTAATTACCATGATTTGTTCATTACTCAATGTTAGTTTATATCATATTGTACCTTATAAATATGTTCAATTATTAAGTGTCCAAAAAATACATTTAGAAGAATAAATTCATTGGTTGATACCTTTTATATTTTAACTACATTTTTTTAATTCTGCAGCAGTATTTTTTTTTTTTTTAAGTTTCTTGCTGAGTTAAGCAGTGTAAAAGATAGCAATGGATAGGCCATTGTAGTCATGCCAGTCTCTGAAAACTAGTAAACTGTGCCATTGGGACTCAGGTGGCCCATTGTACTTAATTGCTAGTATCACAAATCTGTGGAAATTCTATTCTGTGGTCTCATGGAGCTTGTAAAAACCTGAGGCGTGGAACTCTTAGCATTTCTTCTAACCAAATATCTTGCCCTTCCTACCACTTGCTGTTTTTGAAACATCTAGTCCATCATGATTTCATTCCTTTTCCCTCCTATACCTTAGTATCTCTAGGTCTTTCATTTATCCATCTATTCACAAATATTTATTGCATTGTCTAGTAGAGAATGGTCCTCGTGAAACTTATGTCCTCCATTTTTTGGAGAGATTCTGCTATAGGGTGTGTGTGCTCACCAGAAAGACAGAGAGAGACAGAAAGCAAGAAATCACCCCCCGGGGGGATGGCCTCACCACAGTCCCTTCTCCTCCATTCTCTTCTTGAGATCTTGGGCATGCACGCACACGTGCCTGGCGTGAGTTTAAGCCACTGGATCTCGGACTCGAACTGCAGCTGACTACATGGGAGTTCAGTGACATAGCCATTATGCCAACTGCTGGTCCCTGTCCTCCATTTTTTTAAAGATTTTTTTTTTTTTTTTTTGCTGTAGGGCGTGTGCTCTCACCAAAGAGAGAGAGACAGAGACAGTCAGAGGGAAAGTGAGAAATCATCCCCTAGTAGTATAGCCATGCTGCGATCCCTTCTCCTCCTCTCTCCTCACGCCTGGTGTGATTTTCAAGCCATGGGGTCTAGGATTTGAACTATGGTTGACAATGTGGGGATTGAGCGATGTAACTCCTGTGTCGGCCTTCCATGTATTTTTTTAAACTGGGCTCCTTACTCAGTCACCTCAGCACCCTAGAGTTCTGCACTTCATTAACTTCTCTTAGGAGTATCTTGCCACTTAGATTCCTCTAGCTTCTGGATTTTTCAGGTCTGTTCTGGTTTAGCTGCTGGAGCAGTTTAAGAAGCATCATTGATGTGGTTCACTGCAAAATCACTTTCTAACCTCAACTGAGTCCTTACTGACACACTTTTTCTTTTTTTCCCCCAGTGTATCTTACATTCTGTGTAGCGGCTACACCAAGATGTTTTTAGTCTTTATAAAAAACATCAAAACAAAAGCCTGCAAGGATTTCCTTTTCTATCCTTCATACTTTAAGAATTCATATCACCTCTTAGTTTTCTGAGAAATTATAGCTCTAAAAATTGCTTCATCTTGTTCTCTCTTGTACTTAAAAGCTTTAGTATCTCCACTCATTCTTGACTCCTTTACGTTTTCAATGGATCAAGTGTCTCCTCATATCCAATATGTTATCAAAAGCTACCTGATTCTGCCTCTGAAATGTCTGTGTCAATTTCCTCTCCTGATTTGAAGGTTTTACCATTTTGGGGTCAGTCTCTTAAATGATTTTCCCTTCTTCCTTCTTCTAGTGCCATTACTATTTTATAGTCACTACCTTAATCCATATTTAATCATAAAACTTCTCTCCTCAAAATCCCTCGATACTTTTCATTGTTTAGAGAAAAAGGTTCACCTATGCAATTTTTCTCATTCCAGCCTTCTTCTACATTATCTCCAGGTATTTCTACTTAAGAATTTTATCTTCTAAATAGATGTATTCAAGGTCTTGTTTTTTCTCTCTGCCTTTGCATATGCTAACTAGAATGACTTCACCCTAGCACTTGTTCTTCTTGGTAGATTCAAATTTTTCATGAAGATATTTCAGATTTTCTCTGCTTTGAGAAGTCTTTACTGTCTTTCCCAGTCAGTCAGTTTTCTTTGACCCTGTCTTAGCAATTTGTATTTTATTATTGAACTACTTATAGGTACAAAACAAGACTCATTCTCTTTATATTTTTATTGAAAAATGAACAAATCTTAATGATTTAGGAGTGATGTCATATCATACATATCTCTAATTCAGGTAAATATGAGTGAAGGTAATGCAGAACAAAGATCTTGGTTCCCATGGTACTTAGCCATTTGAAGTCTTGAAAAACATATAGAGGGAAGTGGGCAAAAGTGAATGTCAAGTAAAATCTGTGAGTTAAATAGCAAGTATAGTTGAGCTTTAATGATGTATTTATCTGCTACTATTAGAAGAGAAAACTCCTGGTACAGGTTCCATGGTTAGTAATCCTTAACTTGTATAACCAGCATAGCTTCCTATTGTTTTCAATTTATAACATGCCACATTATAAGGAATTCATTCTAGTTAACCTTAAAAAAAAACAACAGCAACTGGATTTTAGATTATGAACTAGAAGTATGAAGTTGCTCCTGAAATGTCAGTCAGATGATCAGCACAAATCATTGTTGGTTCAATTTGCAATAGTAGTTTGGGATCACTCATACGCTGTGCACACACTTAGAAGCTTTTGTCTGGGACTGCCAGTGAGTCGTACCTTTTGTTTCTGAATGTAAGACTTATGGTGAAATTGTTTTGCCTTTGCAGCTGGAAACAATGTGGAGGTAGATGAGTCTTTGTTCCAGGAAATGGATGACTTGGAGCTAGAGGATGATGAAGATGATCCAGATTATAATCCTGCTGACCCAGAGAGTGACTCAACTGACTAATGGACTGTCCCATCTGCAAAGAGGCTCGACTGCCACAGCATCTGTGGCTATGCTGAGAGGGTTTTGATTTGTCTTTTTTTCTAAGAAAAAATAATTTTCAGGAGAATATTCTTCTGATAGCTTTCGTCATTGAACTTAATAAACTGACCTTAAAATTTCAAATATAAAATGTTTAATTCCTCTTATTGTTGAGCAGGTTACATATTTTAAATAATTTTGTGTTGGAGAAAGATCCTGCCTATAATATCAAGACTTGCAGGAAGGCTTTGCTGTGCTTATGTGTGGTTTTATATATGAAGAATTGGAACAACTCAGAATTTCTATGCTGGAGATGGGTTACTTTTGGATTCCAAGTATCATCATTCACATAAGGAAGACTGAGGTGAATTTGTATTTCAACCTCCAGGCTCAATAAATTTAAAAGTCTTAACAAAACCAGAAACCCATATGATGGTCAGGAATAAAATGGACTTAGTCTTATGATAGTATTTGAATCAGTCACTTAGGGAGTTTTTAAAGTGTGTGCATTCCTGGCACAGGTTATATTCATAAGCAGTGAGCTCCAATCTGAATTTTAAAGCAGCAAAATCTCTCAGGCCTGCCTTGGAGTGCAGCATATTAAGCATAGTATATGGGGAACTGCATCCACATGACCAACTGCTTTAGGAATCCTGGCCAAGGCAGCTTGAAAAACATGCTGGACAAGTATGCATGCTTCCAAAATCCTGATGGAGAAATGGAGAAAAAAGATTGCAGCATGGCCATACCCATTGAGGAGTGTTTTCTCTGTCTCTGGCAAGTACACTTGTCCTGTTACAATAAAACAAACACACACAAAACAATAAACCCCAGCAAAATCTGCCAGTTCTATAGGTGATTTTGATACATACCCCTGATTAAGAACCACTGTTCTGCAGTTGTGAAGTATAGTCACCGTGGTGTTTTCACTACCTCTTTCTAATCAACTACCCTAAAGGGATCGGAACCTGTGGCTTGTACATTGTTGACAAAAGAAATACACACCCACATCCATGCATGCATGAAACCTTTGTAATTTTGAAAATTGAGTTGGGGGCTCCAAGGAGGGGAGCCAGGCTTCATTCATGTTATTCAGTTACTGCAGTTTCAGAGGACTGGACTCTAAACTCCAACGGGAGATCAGTTGTGCTATTGCAGATAATTGCCTCATAGCAATATTAATCCCACATTAATTTTTGGAGTCAGACTTTATGATCAGAAGCAAATTATTTAAGGTAAAACTATGATTGGGCAATTTAATAATACATTTCAAGGAATCTTCTGTTCAGCTGTGATTCTGAACCAATGGATTGGGATAGCAGTGCTGGCCAGCATTTCTGTGAAGAGAGAAACTAAAAGTCTGTGTTATGTGAGAGTTTGCTTTTCCTAAAGAGAGATCCTTTTTGAAGTTGATCAGCAGATGCATAAGAACTGAAAGAAGCCATTCAGTTAAGGTTAAAAAAATCAATGTAGTGCAGAGGTCAATGAAGATTTGACCTTGAAGTGTTCCCTTTCCTTTCACATGATTTTTAAGGGTAAGTTTTATACAGCTATTGAAGTGTATTTCCATCTTTGTTATTAAGAGCAGAACTTAGTAAAAAAATAGCCTGGGTAGTTCAAATGGCACTTTCAAGTGTTTTCATCTGTAGTAAATATTAACTCTACTGTTGGTTTTGTATTCTGGAAATGAACCCCAGACTCTGGTTCTCAGAGCGAAGCACACATTTCCAAGATGTGCAATAGCACGACAGTGGTGTTTGATGCAGTGCTGGAATTGGCCCATTTTGGATTATTGATTTGTCCTTGGGTTTGGGAAAATTTTCGTTCTTATCTACTTGTGCCAAGTTTTGTAAAATTATTAGGTTAGAAACAACCACAAATGTTTATTTTTTATTGTGTCACATAACAATCTGGCACAGAATAGGCACCTATATTTATTGAATGAGTGGATCATGGAATATAATGCAAAATTCTCATGCATTGTGGAGATAAAACATGAGAATTCAAAGAAATATTTTACTTGCCATCTGCATCTTTGAGTAATGCTCCTAGATTCAGTATAATTTCATGGTCTTTTACTGGTAGGAGTGCTCTAGGGAAAAATAAAATAAATGCTGACTTAAGGCAACACATTTTACACCAACATTTCCTAGTTGAGTTAAAATCAAGAAGGGTGATCAGTAACACCCCAGGCCTGGTTTTGGCACAGCGGTGATGTTTTGCTCAAGCGAAATGATTGGGAACCATTTTCAATCCCAGGCTTGGTCAACCAAAACACTTTGTGGACAGCTGTAGTTCCCCAGGATCCAATGGGCTGGGCGAGTGAAGGATGGGGATTGCAATGTGATCACACACACAGGAGGTCGCTTATCTCTTTAACTCGTGTGTGTGCGTGTGAACAAAGGGGGAAAATCTCATTAATGAAAAGAACAAGTCCATTGATCATTATAAATTCCAGACACACATGTGCCAAGAAACAAAGTGGTGAGTTCTTGAGTTCCAGAAAAAAGATTGTGAGTTTCAAGTATTTGTATGATGGCCCTTTGTTCGGTATAAAGTGCACACAGAAAATAGGTAAACTACCTCAAGTAGCCCACAGTTTTTCTCAGATAATATACATGTTATGCAGCAAAAGTAGGTGGAATTGTATGATTATGTCAAAATGAGACACACACTTCAAGAACTGTAATTTTAGAAAGAGACCCTTGAGTTGTAGGAAAAGTTTGAGAAGAGATGACACACAACGTGTGTTTATATAAATATATAAATGTGAATGGCATTGGTTTGCTGCTTTAGAAACTGTGAAGAGTAATGAGAAAATGCTTTTCCAAGCTTTTGTTGAAGTTTCATATACCCTTTGGTTGAGTTACTTGTGCCAGAAGGTGAATGAAGAGATCATTGAACTGTTGGGCAAACCCTTCATGAACATTTTAATTTTTATCGTCAAATAAAAATGACCCATGTTGTATTTAATTTTTACATTTATAGGTAATTTGCATTATTCTGTGTAACTGAATCTCAACTCAGTTCTAATTTTTTGGTCCAACTTTTAGCAATTTCATTTGACACCATGGACAGCACAGTAAAAGATACACAAATTTGCTTTGCAGTTGTTTATGAAGAATGTTTATTTTTAAAAAATCCATGAAATAAGCCAACGTATTCAACCAGTCTATCCTTAAAGTGAACTGTAATATTCAATTTGAGTGCTCCTTTGTGCCCACTTTTCTTTGTGCTAGTGTTAATGTCTTTTCCCCCTCTTCTCCATGAAGGGACTGAAAAACAATACAATTCACCCTTGAGTTTTAATTTTCTGGCCAGCATCTTATTCATTTGTATAATAGCTATGCCAACTATTATGTTCTGCAATAGACCTAACTTTCAAAGCCTTCCCCAACATTAGCAAGTCCCGCTAACACGAATGCCGCTGTCCACGGTCCTGCACCATCAGTACTAACTAGGATTTGGCTTGGTCGTCTTTTGAGTCCTGTGATGCAGTTGAGTAGTCCAGGAATATGGAACCAAGTGCGAAGAAAGCTGTGAGAAAGAAGGTTGTGGAGAGGGAAAAGCAACCAAGCACGAAAGAGAATAAGGAGATGGATATGCTGGAAAAGCAACTTGAAACGTGGCAAATGGCAAGTGGTGACATTGTTTTCAAATAATTGAAGTAATGAAAATATAAGAGGAATGGAGGGTGGGGGAGAGAGAGACAGAGAAGGGTTTCACTCAGTCTACCAAAGATTTTTTTTTATTAACTTACACAATTAATTTTTAAATAATTGTTTTCCCATCTATTAGGGACATTAGTACTAGGCATTTTAGTACTAGGCATTTACTCATCTGAAAAGAATATTTTTTTAGACATTTCTTTATAGCTACTTCCCCATCTCTACCTTTGCAACCATTCACTTTGATCTCTTAGTCTCCATTAGCTTTCTTCACATTCCCGTGCACAAATATGAAGGGTATTTAGTTCTGAAAATATTGTATATGTAGGTTATTCCAAGTTTTACACATCAAACAATATGCAATGGAATTAGCTGAAAGTAAGTTGGAAACATGAAAATGAAAAGAAATCTTTTCATTGTTTTTAATTAAAAAATACAAATAAAATACCTTATGTTGCCTATTTACCTGCAAAACTACCACATAATGTATGAAAAAAGATACTGAAATAAAATTTCACAGCAACAACAAAATTAGTCACTGGAAAATGATAATTCTGTCATATTTGCCACTGTTCTGTCTCTTGAATTGTTTTAAGCTAATTTCCAAATCACTTTAAACAATTTCTTTTCCAGTGAACTTTCCTGGAGAACAGTAAGTGTTAGGTATCTACCAGAAAATAAAGATTTGAAAGTCATTTTGGAGCCATATGGTGGAAGACAAAAGAAGTAGAATGAGGTCATAGCTTTAAAAATAAAATAGTCAGATCACTGATATTCTTGCTTCCATTAACTCTCAGGTAAAGTATTAGTCCTTCAGATATTCCTTGGAATTGAAACATGGAACTGTAAATCAGCTTGAGATTCCTTTTAAAGAAAGAAGCCTCCAACTCCTAAACCTCAGAATTTGTATAGCATTTTCCTTGTGTAGATGTGGGTAATTTCCTATTTAAGATTAAAGCAATGACTATATAAAAAAATTGGAATGGAAAAGTACGTTAGAAAATTTATAATCCCATCCATTTAAAGAGATCAGATATTCATATCTGGTTACAAAAGTCTCCAGACCATTTTTTAGTCACTTCTGTTCAAAAGGCATCCACTAGGAGGTTTGTAAAGCACCGTCATGCTGCTGCGCCTTGTCCCTGCTCACCCATTTCATTCTTAGTGGTAGAATAATGCCTAGTTGAGAGCAGGCACAACATAAATACTTCTTGAGTCCTTTTGTTCTACTGTTTTGTAACAAATTGCTGGGCTGGGATCATTAAAAGTGATTAAAAAAAAAAGGAGCACACAGCCCTCCTCCGCCACTTAGAAAAACATAAAAATACTTTAGGATATGGAAAACTTCAGGAACATTACAACACACCCCTCCTGCCATTCTGCCCTCAGTGCACCAGTATTTTAAAAAATGGTAAAACCAGGAACTGAAATATTTATTTACAAAAATGTTCTGCCTGTTCTGCATACAATTTGCCCTC